CAGCAGGACTATAAGAAATCTAGCATGTGAAATAGAAAGATTGTCTCTTTAAAAAAATGAAAGGTACAACCATTTATCTTATTTAACCTTGGGTAAATCTCAGTTTCGATGAGCCTTTGTTTCTTAAACTCTAAAATGAATGATTTAGCTCTTTTTTTCCAGCTTTACTGAGGTGTAATTGACAAATAAAATTATACATATACATATTTAAACTTTACCATGATTTTGATATAGGTATACGTTGTGAAGTATTTGCCACAATCAAGTTAATTAACGCATCTATCACCTCACATCGTTACTTTGTATGTGTGTCTGTGTAGTAAGAATGCTTAAGAATCACTGTTAGCAAATTTCAAGTATCATGACAATATTATTAACTATAGTTACCACACTGTACATTAGATCCTCAGAATTTATTCATCTTATACCTGAAAGTTTGTACCCTTTGATCAATATCTCCTATTTCTCCCCTGCCCCCAACCCCTAGCAACCACTCTTCCACTCCCTGCTTCTATGAGTCTGACCTTTTTCTTTTAGATTCCACATATAAATGATACCATACAGTATTTGTCTTTCTCTGTCTGGCTTATTTCACTTAGCATAATGCCCTTCAGATTCATTCATGTTGTCTTTGATACCTACAATTTCAACAACGTTAATTGAAAACTAGAAGCCTGTTTTATATATATTTTATATGATATATTTAATAATAAAACAAGTTTTAAATAAAAACTAGAAGCCTATTGTCAAACTTAGGATAAACCCCAAAAGTCTTTGAAGAGTTACTGATATACCCATAGATGAATCATTATTTTTTCAGGAGACTGGGAGCTGTCAGTAGCTGCCAAGTTTTACCAGCAACGTAAGGCACCACTCACTCTTCTCTTCACAGTTCTTAGTACTGCTAATTTACCATCTTCCCACAGTGTTCTTAATGTATCCACAGGCCTCCTCAGCCATTGTGTTTTCTTCTATGGGTATACGAAGTTTCCTTTAGCAATTAAACCCAAACTTTATTGCTTCAGCTCCCTCACCTTTATGAAGGGCGGTAGTCATGCAAAGTACCCCCAGGAATCTCTTGAGAGGCAAGGAGTATCTCATAGGCTCCAGAGCAAGTCCACACCCACTGGATATCTGCCATCTTCTTGGGTTCCTGTTCTATAATATGGCTTCACTCTGAGAACTGTACAAACCCAAGGGTGTGAGAAATCTCACAGTTCATCCATCATTGTTCTGGAGCTGCTGAGTTCTGCACAGAAGTGGGATCAATGCTCCCCCTCTCCTGAGGAGGGAGAAACTTAATGCCTGAGCTGAGCAAGGGACAAAGTGCCATATGATTCTCCCTTTTCATCCCTGTCTCTACAGAGTGTCTTCCTTCAAGTAAATCTATTTAATAGAGTGCAGCAGGTAGGAGCATTGGGTTGGGAGTGGGGAATCAAATTTCCAGAGCAGCTTATAGCTCTGGACATTCCAGGTCCCTAACACTCGCATGCAAATTACAGTTCATTACATGTAGGACTCTATTTATTTATTTATTTATTTATTTATCTTATTTTATTTATTTATTTATTTTTTTTCCGGTACGCGGGCCTCTCACTGTTGTGGCCTCTCCCGTTGCGGAGCACAGGCTCCGGACGCGCAGGCTCAGCGGCCATGGCTCACGGGCCCAGCCGCTCCGCGGCATGTGGGATCTTCCCGGACCGGGGCACGAACCTGTGTCCCCTGCATCGGCAGGCGGACTCTCAACAACCGCGCCACCAGGGAAGCCCAGGACTCTATTTAGAATAACCACAGACAGGGCTACCATTCCAGGCTGTTTGCTGTGTGCTACTGGCTTTACATACAGTACCTCATTAAATTCTCACACATTGTATTAATACACACGAGAAGAGTTTCTTACCCAAGATCACATAAGTAGTAGAATCCAGATTCAGACCCTGATCAGACTAACTCCAGAGCCTTGCTCTTCCTTTACCACCTCCTGCACTGTAAGTCCATCTTGGAAACCACCATAATCGTGTCAGTATTCCTGGGGCATTTCATTGGCCAGAGCCCTTTGGGCACTCGTGCAGGCATGTGCGTGTGCGTGTGCGTGTGCGTGTACTTTAGAATATAAAAATATTACAGAAGACACAGGAAAATTTCCGTTGAACCCAAGACTCCCTAGCCCCACCCTCTACATGCATTCACACCCCACCTGTAATGGTTGCAAGTTGTGTTTTCTTTAGCAAGTTAGGTCAAGAGGTCTGTGTCCCTAGGAAGGGAGAATGACATTTCTCCAATGAGAAAGGAGAACATGTATCATTTAAAAACCTGTTATTAAAATCTTTTGTTTAGAAATTATGCTTGCATATTATTATAAATAATCCATCAACTGGTGTCCTGAATACGATGAAAGAATATTCTGACTGGGTGTCCAGGGACCCTGAATGTCTCCCCTGAGTGAAGCAGTAAGAGAGTGAGTGGCCAGCCCTCGGTGCTCACTGGGGCTCATTACCCCCATGCTCAAGGCTGCCACCCGACCACTTCAGGAAGAGGCTGAGGCAATGCCCATCCAAGGGTCAGGGAGAGTGCTCAACCAGCCTGTGCCTCTTACATAGCTTGTCTAGATGTCATATTTACTACAACTAAAAGAACACAAAATTTCACCCAGGAAGGAGAGGTAGTGCCCATTTGACAGACCCTAAGACAAAAAGTAATATAGTTACAGTCAGTGAAATATGGAAAAGTAGGCAAAGGATTTTGCACTTCCTTTCCAATTAACACTCGGATACAAGTGGATATACTATATTTGACCATTCCTATTGCTAGACTATGTACTGTTGTACTATATTTTAAAATGCTGTAATGAAACTTTCTTCACCGTATTTGGGATTATTAGCCTGATATAAATTCTGGGAAACAAAAGTACAAGGTGAAAGGATATGAATTTAAAAAAACTAAGATGATGATGCTCAATGATAGTGATGAAAGTGGTGCTCTTGGGCACTCCTGGGAACACTGTGAATTGCTGTTTGGAAGGCGGCTTAGTAACAGGAATTGAGACCCATAAGAATAAATGGGTGGAAAGCAGAACCTTGTTACTTTAACTTGAATTAATAGTGATATCGAACATTATTACATATGTTGGTCATCAGTTGCATTTCTTCTTTTGTGAATTATTCTTTCATGCCCTTTGCTCTTACTCATTGGGTATTTTTAAATTGTTTTGCATGAATTCTTTATGTAATATACACAGTAAATAAGTCCTATTTTTTAGGTATCAAAGTAAGAGCTGTTCATCCTCCTCTTATGATATTGAATACTTTTCTAAGCTCTGGAAGCTTTTCCATCTTCAGAGATTTAATAAATATTCTATTTTGTTTTCTTCGTGTGTGTGTGTGTGTGTGTGTGTGTGTGTGTGTGTGTTTATATTTAATTCTTTAAGCCGCCAAGAATTAATTTCAGCATATGGTGTGAGCTGTGGTTTTAAATTCTTCAAAACTCAAAGTAATAAATACTACGTTTTTACAAAAACATTTTCAGTTTTATTATATATTTCTTTTTATTCTCAGTGCATTTGTTAAAAGTTTTCATAAATTCATTGGTGAAGGAGAAGGAGTTCAAGAACAGGGAAAAAATGAGAGATATATTTTATATATGTATGCCTCATCTCACTGTGGTGATTTTTTTGGTTTTATCTTTTTTAGTCTTTTTGTTTTGCTTTTACAAATGAAGGCCTGAGTAGAGGTATATCTGCAAAGCCTGAGGTCCCTTAATTATGGGTGGTTCTGGGAATAATACTTAGAAGGGTAACATCTAAATTAAATGGACCTTTCAAAATAGATATTCTAACCAGGAGGTGAAAGTCATTCCAAGGCTTAAGGAACACATATATTCCCCAAACCTGTGAGCCAGGCATGTTGAAAACTGCTTAGCCTATACAGGCATGTGCATATTTACAAGGAACTGTCCCAGACTAGGGTAAGAGATAAAAATATAAACAGATACACACCACCCATGTGTACTGCAGGAGATATGGAGCCTAGAAACTGGAGCACTACTGAATTAGTGCTATAAAATCCCTATAAAGTGCTTTATAGTCCCTAGAAAATGCCCCATTGGCATTGAACATTATCAGTTGCCTTTCTGTTCCCTTCAAATCCCTTTCAGTCATAATGAGCCTTGGACTATAGTTTCTTCCAGCTACAGTTATCAGTCAACTATCATAGCCTACAAAGATGTTTTCTGATGCCCTTTGTAATGGCAAAGGGCTTTCACCAACCTTCAACTGCCAGCTGATCATGGCCCTCTCCTTCCTTCAAACTCCCGCCAAGTTCTCCATTGACTCAATCCACCCAGAAGCCAGTATGTGCTGGGCTCTGCTGATGAAGTCCTTGCAACTTCCCAGGGCCAAAGATGGAGACAAGGGTGGACAATGGATTTGGTGGAGAAAGAGAAAAACTCCCTCTTTATCTATATTCACTCTGTAAGTGATTTTACTTACAACAATTTATAGTCTATACCCTGATAACTCAAATATTAATATAAAATATTAATATCTCAAATATTAATAATATCAAATATTAATTTACTTACAACAATTTATAGTCTATACCCCGATAACTCAAATATCACCTCTGAACTCCAGACTCTTATCTATAATTGCCTACTGTATATCTTTATTTGGTTATCTAGTTGACATCTCAAATTCAGTATGTCCACCCCATACTTGTTATCCACCCAACTTCTCTTCCTCCAGTTTCCCACCAGATCAGTTAATGGTAATACTATATACTCAGTTGATTTGGCCTCACATCTAGGGATTAACCTTGATCACATTCTTTCCCTCACTCCCACATCCACTCTCTCAACAAGCCCTGTCAAAGAGAACTACCTCCAAAATATACCATGAGTCTGGACTTTTCTCATGTTTTGCACTGATTTCACCTAGTCTCTATACCTCTACTCATGTCCCTCTAGGATCTACTTTTCATCTAGTACCTGGATACTCTTAAAATACATAAATCAGGTTCATCAGTCCCATTTTAGAATCTTCCAATGGCCCCCTATCTCAGTTAAAATAAAATCAAAATTCCTTACTCTTGGTATATGTTAACTTTATGTGTCAATTTGGAGGGTGTTTTGGATGAGATTAAAATGTAAACCAATGACCTCTGAGTAAGCAGACTGCCCTCCATAATGTCAGTGGGTCTTATCTAATCAGTTGAAGATGTGCATAGAACAAAAATACCAGCCTCCCCAAGCAAAAGAGAATCTTCTAGCAGCATGCCTTCAGACTTCATCTACACCATCAGCTCTTCTGGGTCTTGAGCCTGCTGGCCTATACTGCAGATTTAAGACTTCCCAGCCTCCATAATCATATGAGCTAAGTTCTTATAATAAATCTAAATCTCTATATATCCTGTTGGTTCTGTTTCTCTGGATAACTCTGACTAATACAGCATAAAAGGCCTTGTAAGGGCACTGCCTAACTTTTCAACATATTCTCCAATTCTTTTTTATCTGTTCCTTCCTTCTTTTGTATTGACTAAGGACTTTTTAATTCCATTTTCTCCTCTAAGGGTTTTGAAGTGCCTGTATTCTATTTATATCCATTGAGTGGTTACCACTATTCTTAACATGCATACTTACTCTAAAGGCAATCAATACCTCTATCCTTAAAACACTTAATACCAAACACCAGCTCCCATCTTAAATGCTATTTTTATTCAATATTTTAGATCTAGTCTACTTGTTTGCTATCCAAATTAGGCATTTTCTTTTCATAATCAGTGTTTGTTTAGATTTTTCATTTTTCGTCTCTCACCATTCCATCTTACATCTCAGACTTTCCTCCTAGCATTATTTTCCTTCCTAGAGTAGGGTTTGTTGACAGTCAATGATTTCAGTTTTTGTTTGTCCAAAGAAACAAATTTTTTTTTGGCTGCATTGTGTGGCTTGTGGGATCTTAGTTTCCCAGCCAGGGATTGAACCTGGGCCCTCGAAAGTGAAAGTGCCAAGTCCTAACCACTGGACCACCAGGGGCTTCCCCTCCAAAATTGTTTTTATTTTTCCCTTGTTCCTTATGATAATTTTATGGTATACGAAATAGAAATAGACAATCTGAATAGGCCTATATTGATAATGAAACTTAATCAATAAATAATAACCTTCCAAAATAGAAAGCATCAGGCTCAGATGGGTTCACTGGTGATTTCCACCAGACGTTTAAAGAAGAAACTATGTCAGTTCTCTATATAGTCTCTTTCAGAAGACAGAAGCAGAGGGAATACTTCCTAGTTCATTCCATGAGGCCAACGTTACCCTAATACCAAAACCTGACAAAGACATTACAAGAAAACAATGGACCAATATCTCTCATGAACATAGATGCAAAAATCCTCAACAAACATATTAGCAAATTGAATCCAACAAGTATAAAAAGAATTATACATCACAACCAAGTGGAATTTATCCCAGATATGCAAGGCTGGTTCAACATTCAAATATCAATTAATGTAGACTATCATATTAACAGGTTGAAGAGGAAAAATCACATGATCATATTAATAGATGCAGAAAAAGAATTTGACAAAATCCAACACCCGTTCATGATAAAAATTCTTGGTGAAATAGCACTAGAGGAGAATTTCCTTACTTGATAAACAACATTTACAAAAATCCACAGCTTACATCATACCTAATTGTGAGAAACTAGATTTCTCACTAAGATCAGAAATAAGGCAAGGATGTACCCTCTCACTACTCCTTTTCAATATCACACTGGAAGTCCTAGCTAATGCAGTAAGACAAGAAAAGAAGATAAAAGGTATACTGATTGGGGAGGAGGAATTTTTTTTTTTTTTTGTGGTACGCGGGCCTCTCGCTGTTGTGGCCTCTCCCGTTGCGGAGCACAGGTTCCGGACGCGCAGGTTCAGCGGCCATGGCTCACGGGCCCAGCTGCTCCGCTGCATGTGGGATCCTCCCGGACCAGGGCATGGACCCATGTCCCCTGCATCGGCAGGCGGACTCTCAACCACTGTGCCACCAGGGAAGCCCGGATTTTTTTTTTAATTCATAGATGACAATGACTATATAGAAAATCCAAAAGAATCAACAACAACAACAAAACCTCCTGGAATTAATAGGTCATTACAGCATGATGGCAGGATATTAGGTTAATATACAAAAATCAATTGTTTTCATATATATTGGCAATGAACAAGTAGAAGTTGAAATTAAAAACACAATACCATTTATATTAGCACCCAAATAAAATAAGTACTAAGGTATAAATCTAACAAAATATGTAAAATATCTATATGAATAAAACTACAAAACTCTGATGAATGAAATCAAAGAACTAAAGAAATGGAGAGATATTCCATGTTCTGAGTAGGAAGATTCAATATTGTCAAGGTGTTAGTTCTTCCCAACTTGATCTATATGTTCAATGCAATCCCAATCCCAATCTCAGTAAGTTGTCTTGTGGATATCTACAAATTGATTCTAAAGTTTATTTGGAGAGGCAAAAAACACAGAATAGCCAGCACAGTATTGAAGGAGAAGCCCAAAGTCAGAAGACTAACACTACCTGACTACAAGAGTATAAGCTACTGTAATTGTCTTGGGGAGAGAATAGATGAATAAATCAATGAAACAGAAAAAGGAGCCCAGAAATGGATCCTAAGCAGGGCAGTGACTTCAGTCTCTGGATGTGATTTGCATTTGGAAAGATCTCCTGTATTCCTGTGTATTGGAGGGTACAACACTGCAACTTAGGCTAGTTAGAAACACTTAATAGTCTACTGAAGAAAGATGCTGAAAGTCTGAACAATAATGATTATTTTAATGATAGTAGACATGAATTAAACAATTAAGCCCATTTCATACTTAATCTTGTTTACCCCACAGCCACCCAGTGTTGGCACTGGTGTCAACTTCTCCATTTCACGAGTAAGGTAAACAAGGTTGACAGGATAAGTAACTTGATCAAGATCACTCAGTACCCAGATCTGTTTGACTGCAGCTCTCTCTTCACGCCCTGGGACTCAGGCATTGGATGATGGTTTTGATGCTGATGCTGATGATGACGACGATGACGGTGAATGTAAAGGCGCTTTCATTCATTCGGCACACATTAGAGACCTGAAAGCCGGCTTCAGCGTCCAGAAAGGAGGTAAGACAAAATTGATTAAGGTGTCAGTGAGCAACTAATACGATATAAAACTTCCATAACTGCAGAGGACAACGCCGCTACTGCTCTCTGCCCCCCACCCACCTCAAACACCAGACCTGCCAGGACTCTGCTGGCGGCGCCTCCGGGGACCTCAGGCTCTGCTCCACCCCGCCCCGCCCCCGGGCGCCTCCGCGGGCCACGTGGTCCGGCGTCCGCGCAGGCGGGTCCCGGCGCCGGCGCTTCCGTGTTGGCTGCGGCGACGGCGGCGGCGCAGGGGCAGAAGCCGCGCGGCACAGAGACGGCAGAGGCTGGCCGGGCGGAGCTGGGGGCCTGGGCGGGCCCGGGCGGGCCCGGCGTGGGTGCGCCCGCCAGGCCCCGTGTGGGCCACCCGCGATTTGGACTCTGTCGGGCGTCCGGAGAGGTAGGTCCGCCACTGGCCATCCGTCGGTGGCGCGGCACCGCAGCCGTGTCGACCCCTCCCCAGCCGGCAGCTCCCGGGCCCGGCCCAAGAGGTCCAGGGTCGTTGGTAGGGGCCTCCCCCGCGGCCCGCTCCCAGCTCGGCGGGCTCCGGGGAATCGCGCGCTCTCAGCTCCCCGCACCGTCGGGCGCCTGAGCGCCCGTGCCGCCTTTCCAGAGGGAGGCCGGATACGTTATTATTACTTAATTGCAGCTACCCCAATTCACTTTGTTTTTCTTCGCTCTTTCTATTTTTGTGTCACAGACAAAATGGCTAATAATATATAAAATCGACGACACTGTAGTTTTCATTCTTCTATTTGTGCAACTATGGAAAGTTAGTGCAGGGAAGGACTTTAGAGATGGTTGATCCCAATTCCTTCATTTTACAGAGCAGAAAACAGACCCTGAGAGGTCACGTGGATGTCGGAAGTTCACCCAGCTGGGTAATGGTACAATAGGAATGAGAACCCAAAGCTAAGTTTTTAAATAATCTTTTAAAAGTGGTAAATGATGAAATTTAGCCAACAAAATGAGGTGACTAGTAGGTTCCTTTGGGCTGGGATTAATCTTGTTAGAGAATGCCTCCTCCTTTTTAAACATTATTTTCTTATTTCAGGTTTAATCCTTCTTGGACTTCTAAAGAAAATGGCAGAAACATCATCAGAGCCTTCTGGGCAGCTGGTTGTACACTCAGACACTCACAGTGACACCATCCTGGCCAGTTTCGAGGATCAGAGGAAGAAAGGCTTCCTCTGTGACATTACTTTAATCGTGGAGAATGTGCATTTCCGGGCCCACAAAGCCTTACTTGCTGCCAGTAGTGAATACTTCTCAATGATGTTTGCTGAAGAGGGGGAGATTGGCCAGTCCATTTATATGCTGGAAGGCATGGTTGCCGACACGTTTAGTATCCTGCTGGAATTTATCTACACGGGTTGTCTCCAGGCCAGTGAGAAAAGTACAGAACAAATCCTGGCTACTGCCCAGTTCTTAAAAGTCTATGACCTGGTAAAGGCTTACACAGACTTTCAAAATAATCATAGCTCCCCAAAGCCACCGACTTTGAACACAGCTGGTGCTCCAGTGGTTGTTATTTCTAATAAGAAAAATGATCATCCAAAGCGGAAACGGGGAAGACCAAGAAAAGTCAACAGTCTGCAGGAGGGGAAATCAGAACTGGCTGCAGAGGAAGAAATACAGCTGAGAGTGAACAATTCAGTTCAGAATAGACAAAACTTTGTGGTTAAAGAGGGAGACGATGGTGTACTGAATGAACAGATTCCAGCAAAAGAATTGGAAGAATCTGAGCCGGCTTGTGAGCCAGGTAGAGGGGAGGAAATGTCAGCTGAAAAAGATGAGAACTGTGATCCCAAGATCCAGGATGGGCAGGACAACCAGAATCGGTGCAGCAAGCGGAGGATTCGGAGGTCCGTCAAACTGAAAGATTATAAACTTGTTGGGGATGAAGACGACCAGGGTTCAGCCAAGAGGGTCTGTGGAAGGAGGAAGCGCCCCGGTGGCCCCGAGGCCCGTTGTAAAGACTGTGGCAAAGTGTTTAAGTATAATCACTTTTTAGCAATCCACCAGAGAAGCCACACGGGTAATTACTCTTTCACAGCTTGTTGGAATATGTTTTGGAGAAGTAACAATAATAACAGCTTTCATTTATTGTGCAATGTCTATGTGATGGGCATTGTAATAAAGTATACATGTTATTGCATTGGATTCTCACAACAGTCCTGTGAGACAGTTAATATTGTGCAGATGAAAAGACTAAGTCTAGAAAGCTGAAGGTAACTTGCCCAGGGCATCCATGTAGTGACAGGTGGGATTTGAACCCAAGGAACCTGATTCCAGAACCTCTCTACTTATTTGAAGTTGCTGGTTCAAGGCTTGAATGTCCAGGAATCAAGCTGTAGCCAAATTTAATATGCTTTATGATTCTTGAAGATTCCTCATCTTGACCATAGCTGTGTTTTTGCCCAGATCTGTCTGGACAGCTCTCTCACTCAGCCATCTAGCTGTAAATGTCTTTTCCGTTTTGGTCCCTCCAGCCCCGTACTGGCCAATAGCTCTTTTGTGAGTATGGAAATGTTCTATATCTATGCTGTCCATTTTGGTGGCCACTAAGCCACTTGTGTATTTTTTTTTTCACTTGTGTATTTTGAGCACTTGACATGTGGTGAGTGTGACTAAAGAATTGAATATTTTATTTTATTTTATTATTTTATTTATCTTTTGCGGTACGCGGGCCTCTCACTGTTGTGGCCTCTCCCATTGCAGAGCACAGGCTCCGGACGCGCAGGCTCAGCAGCCATGGCTCACGGGCCCAGCCGCTCCGCGGCATGTGGGATCTTCCCAGACCAGGGCACGAACCCGTGTCCCCTGCATCGGCAGGCGGACTCTCAACCACTGCGCCATCAGGGAAGCCCCTGAATATTTTATTTTAATTAATTTGAATAGCCACCATTCAGATGGTGGCTAGGCTGACAGTGCAGCCCTAGCCAGAAATCCCTCCTCCTTTGAACTCTCTCTTACGTACCTAACTCACTCTGCTTTGAGTCAGGCTGTAGTTATATACCTGTAATCTACCCCTCAACCTAATTGTAAGCATAAGTATAGGGTCTGGTACTTAAAACTTCTGTCATCCAGCAGCCTGCTGTCTTATGACCTGGCAGCATCCAGCAGTGTGGTTCTCAACCTGGCTGCATGTTTTAGTCTCCGAGGGAGCTTCTAAAACTACCAGGGCCTGGGTCCCAGCCCCAGAGCTTCTGATTTCATTGCCTGGAGTGTTGGTGTTTTTAAAAGCTCCCCGGAGATTTTAAGTACAGATAGACTGAGACCCTGAATTTTGGTTCTTTGAACACAATAGACACTTGAGAAATATTTGTTGAACTGTGACAGAGGCTAGTTTAAGGAGTTAGATAGTTATACAAGATTCATTAAGGAAAACCGCATGTAGCATCTTCCCTTTTCCCAGTGGTTTCTGCAATTTTGCATTGAATCACTTTAGTGTGGGTCTCTTTTCTTCCATTTGAGTGGTTACCAGTAGATCCATACAGTCTGGAAAACCACCTTTTAGTTCCAGAAAAATTTCATGAATTATTTCATAGATGATCCCCTCTGTTTACTCTGCTCTCTCTTTCTGGAACTCCTCCCATTTGGATGTTGAACCTCCTGGACTCATCCTCTAATTTTCTTATCTTTTGTCTCCTATTTTCCATCACTTTCTGCTCTACTTTTTGGGAGATTTCCACTTTATCTTTCAACTTTTATTGTTTTTCTATTTCTACTCTTATTTTTTTTTTTTTACTTCTAGGAGCTCTTTTGTTCTCTAGATTCTTTTTTTGTTTGTTTTTGGTTAGAATCCTCTGTGAGCCTGTTAATAACAACATTTACTTATTTGTTAATTTTTAATGCTTTCTTCACTCTGGGCAGTCTTTGTTTTCTGCAAGCTGCTTTTTCTCTTATCCGTTTTGGTATCTTTCTACTACTAAAGGCCTTCCTTGACTGTCGGGTGATTTTTTTTTAATCATGTTTAATTACATGCAAGAATGGTTTGCTAAAAGATTTTTTTTAAATCATGTTTAATTACATGCAAGAATGGTTTGCTAAAAGCTACTGGCAACCCTGCAGATGTAGACAGGGCCTGTAGGCATCTTGCTGATACCCGGCATCACATTTTCAGCTCTCTTACTGCCTGCCCTTCGCATTCCAGGAGAAGATGCTCCACCTCCCACCTGGGGGCTGTGGGCCTGGCTGCCAGCGTCTAGCGCAGGAGGGGTCAGAAGGCTGGGGGGAGTCTCATCCCAGATGTGAACTTTGACTTGCTCTCCCTGTGGTAGTGGCACTCCACTGCGCTAGGAGACCTCTAACCCTGAGACCCCTAGTCCAGAGATCCTTCATCCGATTTACCCTCTTCAGAGAACAGTCTCCATCTTCTGCTGGGGAGAGGGTCAGTCTCCTGGTTACGTGGAGTAGGAGACTGGACCTGGGGGGCCTAACTACCTTTGAAACAGACTGTCATTTATCCTCCCTCACCCCTATTTTCAGAGATGACAGGTGCCACCGATTCCTGACCTTGTGGAGGCTCTGTCTTAAATGAGGTTGTGTGTATCTCAGCACTCCTCACCGCTGGTGTAGGACTCGTCTAGCTCCATCTTGCAAAATGTTACTGCTGGTGTTGTCTCTCCTGTTCACTGTCGTTTTAATTTGGGAGGGGACAGGAGGATGTGCAGATTCTTGCTTACATCATGTTTCTGGGGCTCTTATTCCAGGGGAGCGACCTTTCAAATGTAATGAGTGTGGAAAAGGCTTTGCCCAGAAGCACTCCCTGCAGGTCCACACCCGGATGCACACAGGCGAGCGGCCGTACACCTGCACCGTGTGCAGCAAGGCTCTCACCACCAAGCACTCGCTGCTGGAGCACATGAGCCTGCACTCAGGTAGCGGGCTTGCGCCGGGGAGCCAGCTGCCACCAGGTTCCCATTCCTGGGGTGGGCATGACCGTGATCTAAATGGTCTTTTCTCAGCCTCGTATCATTCCCCACATGATACCATTGAAAGAATTGTGCATCTGTCAGAGTGTAGTTTAGAGTTCTGCACAGCATTGAGCCTTAAACTAGGGTTTACAAACTGGCTGCCGGGAGTGCAGTGTGCAATCATGACTTGTTTAAGCACCAGAGTTTAGAATTGTTTTACTTTGGATGCCTTTTGGGGGGAACTTGAATTCTCCAGTTCTGCCTCAGTCTCCATCACTCCCTGTTGCCTTACATGCTTTTGCACATTTATGTTACTGTGGTAGACTCTGAAGGCATTTGGGTTTGTAGACAAGTCACTAGTATTATTTGTCGAAAATGGGGATCTGGGCCCACTGTGATACTTACCTTATTAGTGAGCATTCCAGTTCTTTATAGTTTTTTGTGTGTTTTGTTTGGCAGGACAGAAGTCTTTTACATGTGATCAGTGTGGAAAATATTTCAGCCAGAAAAGACAACTAAAGAGCCATTACCGAGTTCATACAGGTACAATACACTGAGAGAAGATTTGGATTGGTTGGGGGAGAAACGCAAATACAAATTGTTTCTGAAACAGCAGGTTCATATTCTAGAAGATAAATGAGTTTTTAGGGAAATAGTTCTTAAAAAGCAATCTAAATTAGGTGTCCTTGCGTTACTCTCTGTTACCTTGTGATTTATATTAAATTTTTATATTGCAGTTTTGGTGCCACACGCAGAAACCCTGCAAAATTGGTATTGCTCAAGGCACCAGTTGACTAAGAGGGCACCAGTTGATTGGTTGTTAGTCGTGCCTGGACAGAGGTGTCACCACCCCATAGCCGTCAGTCCAGGCTTTCTGCAGCCTGGCTCCACCTATTGTCTTTTTTTCTTTCCTGCCAACTGATAATAAATGGAGGGGGGATTGGGAGCATCATTTGAGATCGGTTGGCCACAGTGACACCAGTGCGTTGAGGGAAAAAGGAGATAACACTTAGGAAGACTGGAAGGGTCCCACCTGTGTTGGGGAAGCAGTGAGTCGAGATGCCTAGGAAACTATTAACTGTTACCAAATCTAATTTAAAAATTGTTGTGTTATTAAAGTACCATATTTAAAGTGATTATTTTTCAGGGAAGTGCTTTAACACAAATCACTGAAGAAATGCAGGGACAGCATACATGCACTGACACTTTTTTTATTGTTGCGACAAGGCCACTCGTTACCGGAATGTAACCACTGCCGCCGCAAATTCATGGATGTGTCTCAGCTAAAGAAACACCTGCGGACACACACAGGTAAGAGTCCATCTCACCCTGTCTTTCTAGTGTGCTTTATGTTGTTAGGGGAGCGAGAAACGAAGTACCGGGAGTCCCCTCCTCAGACTGTGTTTTTGTAAATTGTGTGGGAATTTTATAAGTAGGTCATGTAAAAAGCCCAGGCAGAATGCTGTCACACAATCCTGTGGGGACATCACATGTCTGTAGGTTAGCAAAATGGAGCGTACTTACTAAGCATTGTTCGTAAATGAAACCTCATCTAACACCACAAAATAGTACAAGTCTGAATCAGGTTGCGTGTTTAAATTTTAATTTACCTCAGCGTTGAAGATTATCAAGATAACCTGTTTAGAAAACGAAGCAGACACTAAGGCAGCACAGGCACTGAGGATTTTTCCACTTTCTCTCCTAGAACCAGTACTTATAATTTAAGCATCACCACCTCCAGAAAAATCAGCTTCCAGGTTGAAGAGGAGGCAGGATCAATTAGGGCAGGTCAAATTCTTGCATTTAAGATCAGAAAAGTAAAAATGTGGGCCTTTTAGGACTTTGGGTAAGAAGCATTTCTTAAAAAGAAACCTGTTAGTTTTTCTAGGAAAAGCTTCCTATTCTAGATGGACAGTTTAATGATTCTGTTAAATTGTCTACCAACATATATCAGATTGCTTTGGACATTTTTTTGAAAACACAATTTTTCTTAACGTCATTTACTTTCTTAAATATCTCATAAGGTATGAGTTTTGTGAAAATGGATCTCTATACAGTCTTTCTACAGACATCATTAATAGGTTCTGTGAAATTTAATTCATCCACTTAACACATATTTACTGAACAGTACCAGGCACTGGGTACCAGGCACTGTTGTGGGCCCTGAGGATACAGCACTGCCTGAGATGGACAGAGCCCCTGCTCTTGAGGGGTTAACATTCAAACAGGAGACAAAGAACAAGTGAGTGAGTAACCTGTTAGGTGGGGATAAGTGCTCTGAAGGACTAAACGCAGGGGCAGGAGGCAGGAGGGGGAGCTGCCCTTTGACATGGGGGCTTGTCTGGGAAGGCCTTGCTGATGAGGTGCCATCTTAGATGGAGATCTGTGTGCTGTGGGGAGTGAGCGAGCCATCGTGTCTACCCCGGACAAGAGCGTCCTAGGCAGAGCAGACCGAGGTGCAGAGTGGTGCTGGGGCAGAGCCAGGGCGGTGGGAGTAGGAGGGTGTAGTGTGGGTGGACATCAGAGGCTGCTGGAGCCCGTGGGACACGGGGTTCCCGGCCTGGCTGTGTGCTTCGGCCCCCTGAGAAGCTTTAAAAAAGACAAAGCCTGGTCCCACCCCCAGAGATTTGATCGAAGTGACTGGGGATGAGGCCTTGGAATTGGCATTTTTAAAAGCTCCCCAGGTTTTTCTAGTGGTGCACTTTACTGCGAGGAGTGACATGATGTAACAGAGAATTTTAATAGGATCACAGCAGCCGCCTGTGTGGGGTGAGGCAGGGGCGGAGGCGCCCGTAGGAGGGTGGAGAGACCCATTAGGAGGTGGTGCCAGACAGGGGCTTGGCGCAGGGCGGCAGTGGTGGGGAGGCGGCGAGTGGCCCAGCGCCAAATGTATTCTGAAGGAAGACTCCCGTGATGGGCCCGTGATTGGATGTGGGGGTGAGCGGAGGGGAGGCGGAAGCGGCCAGAAGGGTGAGATCCCGGGGAAGACGGAGGGACAAATGGAGAGTTAGACTTTAGACATGTGGGGCGTGAGGCGTCTGTTTGGCACCCAGGTGCACGAGCAGAGGAGACTGCTGGGTATCTGTGCCCGAGCTCAGGGGGCACCGTGAGCAGCGGTCGAGATTCCCGTGCTTACACACAGGCCTGTAGGCAGCGTGTGGGACTGTGAAGAGAACCCCCGCGGGAGGGCGGAGGTGGAAGAGAGCCGAGCTGTCGGTTATGTGGCGCAGTGCCCGGGGTGAGACGTTTCATCTTCTGAGCATACGGTGTCAGTGAGGCTTCTGGTCTTTCTGAGGAGAACCAGGCCTTGAACTGAGGGTGAAAGCAATACGAGTCCTCTCTCCAGGATCCCAGCAAACTCTGCTCCACCCGCTACCCTGAGGAGCAGGAGAGAGAAGTGGAGGATGCGATGGGTGGGAGAGGACGGACTCCGTAAAGTGGTTTGTCTGACTGAGAGATAAGAGGTCAAACCTGTCAAAAGATTGGGCTCTTGGAAGCAGAGACTGTGACCCTTCTGTCCTTAGCCTGGAGAATATGCACCATATTGGTGTTGAAAAGAGTTGGGGTGCCGCTTGCCTGCTCCCTGGGCAGAGAGGAAGGTTTGGGAGAGGCTGCCTGGCAGAGCTGGCGCTCAGCCTCCACGGACAGTGGTGAGGACAGCCGCCAGCAGGGCAGGCGGGTCCTGCCGAGAGGGCCACGCCCATGGGAAAACCAAGACTCTCTTCTCTTAGGTCTTTAAGTGCAAACTCTCTCTGGGTTAGATATCCTTTGCCAAGCACAAAAAAATCAGAGATAAACAAGAGGTGCTTTCTTCCCTAGAGGGCATGTTCAGTGGCGAGGGTGGGGGGGTGACGGATGCAATTTGAAATGGAAGCAAGGTGACAGGCAGTGCCAACAAGGTTGCTGCAGCTCAGTTCTTTCCCCATACCTGCAGCTGGTCAGGCTTTCAGGAACTGAGCCAAGCCATGCCAAGCAAAGGAGTGATAAACCATCGAGTGTGTTCATTTAGCAAAGGGACTGCACCTCTCTGTTGTCTGCAGTACCGCCTTCCTGACATCACTGTACCTGCAAACTGAGTTAGTGATCCCAAGATTGCTTGGTGAGCTAGGGGCAAGTTCAGAGAATTAGCCCAGGTCATGGAGAAGCCTGGTGCATGGCCTCTGACCGCAGTAGAGTGCCAGCCCTCCAGTGTCCCTGTCCCTTGTGTGGGCTCCCACTTACTCCCAGGTAGATCCCCTGCCTGTGACACAGTTAACTGAGCCACAGCTTTCATTCACAGCCTCATTTTGTTGGATTGGATTTGGAGCTTCCTGAATCTCAGCCATGTTTTCAGACTATCCATTAACCTTGCTCATCCCCAACTTTGAGAGACCTGGGGGTCCCTCACTGTAACATACCCTTCCAGAGTTTACATGTGGTCTAGTAAGAACCTCAGTACAGCGTGATATGAGCCCCATTAGAGGTGTGAACATAGAGACAGAAGTGTTTCACTTTCCCTGGGAAGGTCTGGGAAAGCGTCCCAGAGGAAGGACCTGAGTCTTGAAGCCAGAGTAAGTGCTAGACAGACAGAGGAAGCTGGAAGAGGTGTTTCCAGACAGGAACAGGATGCGTGGGGTTAACGATGTGAGAGGCTGGCATCCGAGGGCCGTGGTGAGGAATTCCACGGTGAAGAGCTAGAGTCAGATTGCTGACAAGGGGCAGGCCCCTGGTGAAGCGGGGGCTAGTCTTTGGGCAGAGAGGAGGCATATTTTGGTTCGTGCATTGAAAAGGACTCAGACAGCCCCAGGAGGATGGTCAGAGAGGGAAGGTCCTGGGGATGAGCCAGTTACCAGGCTCTGGGGAAGAAAGATGAAGGCCTTCAAGTCAAGAGAGTGGACAGAAGAGATGTACTTAAGAGATTTTTAGTCTGGGAAAAAAAAGAGTCATTGCATATGTGACAAAGTGTTAATAGCCCAAATATGGGAACATGAGTGCCCAGGAGAAAACTGGGCAGGGGGACCTGAAAGGCATATCACAGGAAAAGACATAGGAATGGCCAGTAGACGTCTGAAACGATGTTAACTGCATTAATTGTCAGAGAAAAAGAAATGTGCATTCCTTTTGGCCCATTAGATTGACAAATATGTGAGGAAATGGGCATCTTTAAGTTCTGTTGATGGGAAAGGAATTTGGGAACTTCCTGGAAAGAACTTTGGCAATGTGAATCAAAAGCTAAGCTGTCCAGTTGTGAAAAGATGTTTGCATAAGGATGTTCAACGTAAGCAGGATTGTTTATAATGTCACAGGCTTAAAAGTGACCTAAATGTCCCTCAGTAAGGGATTAGTTAGGTAAATTTTGGCCAAGATACATAGTGGAACACAAAACACCCTTTTAAAATGTTTGTTTGTTTGTTTTTAACCATTTTTTTAAGATGAATTTTCCGTTCCCATTTGACGTTACAGACCAGCATGCGCTGGCCGATCTCATGGTGTACATAGTATATCACCTGTGTGTGTGCACAGAGACGCCTGTAAAGGTGTTCATCACAGTGTGAGGTGGCAATCTACAGGGCAATTCTGAGTGTTTTTTGTATACTTTGTGCTTCTCAGTATTATTTGAGTCTTCTGCAGTGAACGTTGTTGATTTTTGAAGAAAACGAAAGCAGCTGTTTGAGGAATTTAAATGTACAGAACTAGATTGCCAGTCGAATGTGCACTCGGAGCAGACTGGACTGTCGGGCCTGGCTGGGTCAGGGGCTGGATGCTGCTGCGTTAGCCAAGATGGTCATGTGGGTTTGAGCCAATGGGGTAGGAGAACCAGCCATGCTACCCAACAAGCCCGCCGGAGTCGGTACCCTCTGGAGCTGGGATGGGGATTCACAGGTCATCAGAGTGGGGTGGGATGAGTGGCATGCACAGCTGAGGAGAGGGTCTGGAAGGAAAACTTCTGAATTACTTAAATATTTCTGTCAGCATCCCCCTGGGTGAAACGAGTTAGGAACCAGAGGAGTAGGAAGACTTTCCCCAGATTCACGTTGGCTAGGAAAATTTGCCTTCTTACTGTGCTCGAGGATGTTTCTGGAAAGAGTTTCCAGTATTGAAAACATTTGCCAACAGAATTCCTGAGGTGTTGCAACCCCAGATGGAATTGAATGATAACGTGAACGTTGTTGTATGTGCTCCCCACACAGAACTTTACAGTGACAGGCGGACAGAGCAGGTACTCAGTCTTGGAATTGGGAGAGGAAGAAAAACCGAGATCAGAATAGAACGCAGCTCTGGTTGGAAAGCTGTGGAAAGAATGGCAGTGGCCTGGTTTTAACCTTTGGAGTGGTAAGAGTTACTGCTGCAAAGACGCAGACTCACCCAAATTGTCACAAGTGTCCTCTGCCTAGATTGAACTTGGGGAAACATCTCACCTGAATTTTCTAGTAGATGCTGTAAAAGGGAAGCTACCTGACCATCCCCCACTTCACTCATCCCTTGTTGTTATATAGTTAAGTGGGATTTTTCTTTTTTCTTTTTCTTCTTTTTTTTTTTTCAAATTCATAGTTCCCTTGCCTGCATTAGGATCACTTAGTTGCATTTCTGGAGGGCATGGCAGTCTGTCATTGTATGTGCAGTGTATAAACTAGCGCTAAACAAATGCTGTTGAAGCCTTATTAAAATTGTCAGGGACTTCCCTGGTGGCTCAGTGGTTAAGAATCCACCTGCCAGTGCAGGGGACACGGGTTCGATCCCTGGTCCGGGAAGATCCCACATGCCACGGAACAACTAAGCCCGTTTGCCACAACTACTGAACCTGCGCTCTAGAGCCTGTGAGCCACAACTACTGAGGCCGTGCGCCTAGAGCACTGTGTTCCACAACAAGAGAAGCCACCGCAATGAGAGGTCCACACACCGCAATGAAAAGTAGGCCCCTCTCGCCGCAACTAGAAAAAGCCGGTGTGCAATAACGAAGACCCAACGCGGCCATAAATAAATAAATAGATAGATAGATAAATAAATTTATTTCTTAAAAAAAAAAAAATTGCCAGACCCCACTAGGGGTCTGGAGCAGTCACAACATCTTATGTGGGCCTTAGCTCCCACTCTGTGAAATTCATTTACTCAACAAGGATTTCTGGAACAGTGTGCGAGGCCCAGTTCTAGGCACTGGGGTCCTAGGAGTAGGCAGACTCACAAATCATCCTACATAAGGCTGGGAGAGATAGGTATAATAGATAACATACGGTATATAAGGTGGCGATAGCATTGTGGGAAAACTGACTTGGGAAGTGGACCAAGACATGCTGGGGCAGTGCTTTGGGTGGTGATAAAGCCTCACTGGTAATGTGACACTTGAGCAGAGACTTGAAGGCAGTGTGGAGAGTGAACCACACTGGGAGACCCTGGGGGAGACATGCCAGGGAGAGGGAGGGGATGATGAGTGCGAGGGTCCTGAGCGTGGCTTGCTTGAGTGGTGGTGTTCAGGGTCTCTCCAGAGGCTGTGTGGTGAGCAGGGGAGAGTGCCCGGTGAGGTTAGGCTGGTTTGGGGCGAGGAGTGGCAGTGGGTGGACAGATCTGTCAGAGCTGTGATTCCTTGTAGGCCCAGGGCTTTGGCTTTTACCTCTGGATGGGATGGGGAGCCATTAGAGCACTTGCAGTAGAGCGTGATAGGATCTGACTGTGTAAAGGGTCACTCCAGTCGCCTCATTCATTGTGGACGACAGGGAAGCAGAGCAGAGAGGGGCAAACTCACAAGGAGGCTGCTGCAGGGAGGTGATGGCGGCCTGGGCCAGGGGTGGCAGTGGAGGTGGTGAGAAGTGGCCAGGTTCTGGATACACTGGGAAGGTAGATATAAATGTGAATGATCCATAAGTCACCCTGGTACTCAAGGGCCCTTGGGAAGGTCAAGCAGTAAAGTGTGGGAGCGTAAGTTACCTAAGGGTGGACTGTACAGGAGTGAATGTGTGTCCTTCGTAGAATCACTTACCCCCTTGTTTCAGTGTTTAAGTGTTTGAGGGAAAGAACCGTACCCACTTTCTCTGTATCCTCCTGGCATCTAGGACACAGTGCTTAGGTATGTAGTAGGTGCTCACTAAGTGCTTCATTCATTCACTCATGCTTATTGAGGGTTCAAGTGGTATTGCCTTTGTTCTTTTTTATATTGTGAAACTGTGGGGTGGTTTTTGCTTTTTGTTTTATTTTGGATGTATATTTCTGAACGCTTTCCCCTTTTTTAGGTGAGAAGCCATTTACTTGTGAAATCTGTGGCAAATCTTTCACAGCAAAGAGTTCTCTTCAGACCCACATCAGGATCCATCGGTAAAGTTTTGCAGATCCTTTTCTCACATGGAGTCCTCGTCCAACCCTGGCGTTCAGTAGGGTGACATACATTCCCTATATAGTCCTTTTCCCCAAATTATTACTGTAGTAGAATTTCCTGGGCAGTTTATTATTTTGTTTTATCTTTTCAATAAAGAAATTCCTCACTTAGGCCAAATCAGGAAAACTGATTCTGGCCAGCAAAAGTTTGCATTATTGATGTCATTTCTTAAATTGTGATTTATCTTCAGTCAAAACTAAATATTTAATATTTTCTGAATAAATTATTTGTTCACACAACTTATTTCCGGATTTGATTTAGTAGTTCTTCTAACACAGATAATTAGGGGCTACTCAAATTTTTAATATTGAAATCAATCATATATATTTATTTGGCTTCTAGAATCTAAAAATTGGCTGTGAGAGCTGAAAACAAAGAAGAACTTGGTGTGTAATTTATTACTATTTACCTTCTTATCTGAAATACACACTGTGGAATCATCAAATTTTATCATATCTGACCCAGCATCACAGCCCCATCTACCACCTGTCCTCAAACACCCCTCCCTGCCATTCTTTTTTTTTTTCTTAAGATTAGAAACTGAAGTCCATGGCAGGCATGACTTGGTCCAAGTACTTAAGTTAGCAAGAGAGCCCATGACTTATGCTTCCCAGTCAGGTTGATTTTCCCCTCTTCTTGACTGCTTCTCCCTAAATGATCAGTAAGTGATAAATAGATCTTCCTGTTTTTAAAATGAAATGTATACTTTCTCGTAGAGGAGAAAAGCCATATTCCTGTACCGTGTGTGGCAAATCCTTCTCTGACTCGAGTGCCAAGAGGAGACACTGCATTCTGCACACGGGCAAAAAGCCTTTCTCCTGCCCTGAGTGTAACTTACAGTTCGCTCGCTTAGACAACTTGAAGGCTCACTTAAAAATACATAGCAAAGAGAAACATACGTCCGATGCCAGCAGCGTTTCCGGCAATAATAATGCTGAAGAGGTCAGGAATATTCTTCAGCTGCAGCCCTATCAACTCTCTACCTCCGGAGAGCAGGAAATTCAGCTTCTTGTAACTGATTCTGTACATAACATCAATTTCATGCCTGGTCCTAGCCAAGGAATCAGCATCGTCACTGCAGAGAGTTCCCAGAACATGACGGCAGACCAGGCTGCTAACCTCACCCTGCTCACGCAGCAGCCAGAGCAACTGCAGAACTTAATTCTTTCAGCTCAGCAGGAGCAAACAGAACACATTCAAAGCCTCAATATGATTGAAAGCCAGATGGAACCCTCACAGACCGAGCCAGTGCATGTCATCACACTCTCCAAGGAAACTCTGGAACATCTTCACGCCCATCAAGGGCAAACAGGGGAGCTCCATTTAGCAAGCGCTTCAGATCCGGCTCAGCACCTACAGCTGACACAGGAGCCTGCTCCGCCACCACCCGCCCACCAGGTGCCCCAGTCCACACCGCTCAGCCAGGAGCAGAGCTGACCCGAACACGTGCCTGACTGCTCCGTCGGCCTCTTCTCCGTCAGCCCGCTGTGACTGGATTGTGTGCTTGAAGTCAGGCTTTCTGCAACGCTCGCTTACAGATTCTTACAGAGATGTGGTAGCTCTATGAGCCAGCCGATAGCGTCCATCCAAGAGGCAAGATGTGTATATCGTGTCTTATATCTAATACTGATTTGGATTTAGCATTTCAATATTGATGAATGGTTTTCATTTTCATTTACTACATCTCTTAAAGACTGTGTAACTTTTCTTTGGGGGCATTGCATTAAACTTTTCTGTGAGTATTAAATGTTCACAGCCATAGTTATGGTCTTGCTGACTTTTCCAGTTATATTTTTTATTTTTTAGAACGAAGAAAATCATATGTTGTATTGGGTACAATGGTTGGTTGTCCCTTCCCCCTTAGGCAACACAATTGCCACTACAAGACAAGTTGGGGCCGAATATGACAGATTACAGCTTTGGGGACTCTGTCCTTTTAATGACTTCCAACCCCCTAAGACAGAGTAATTTCTCAAGGTTTAATCTCTGTGTGGTACAGTGGGCTCATCATGTCGTGTTTAAGATAGAGTCGAAGACAATATGACCTAAATGTCTATTTTAACTCAACATTCACAAAACAAGAAAGGCAAAAGCATAGGATTATTTTTTAAATTCTAAACTCGACTTTTCTGAGAAACATAGATTTACATGTTTTTTAAAAGCAGGTGGTTAAAAATTTAAAAGGCTAATTAAGGTATGAAATTGGATCAAGATATTCACCCCAAATAAATTCTGAATTTTTGTCAGCTTTGATATTTGATCTCCATGGTGAAGTTAAAGCTTTCTTAATTATCCTGGAATATAAAATTCAGTGTAATTTATGTTAAATATACTCTACTGGATTCTAATTGATCTCTGAAAATGTTGATCTATGTATTGTGTCTGATAACTTTTTAGATAGGAACTTATAATCTATTTTTATTGCAGAGTAGGTTAAATCTCACAAAATAGACACATAATTTTTAAAAGTAAATTCTCCTAATCTTAAAAATAATTTTGAGCCTCAGAGACTTAGTAGCCAGCGTGTGTCTGTAGTTGTGTGATTTTAAATAATCGTCAGAAGATTAAATTATGTTTGGGTTAAGTTTTTTCCAGCTCAGCCTATTTTATTGAATACGCTGACCACTTTATCTCAAGTAAACTGGTAGAAGACTTTTGAGAAAAGGTGGGCACTAGTGTATGTTAATTAACATAAAGCTGGTGGAGAGTAGGGGTAATCACCCCTAAAATTAACAGGATCTTCATGTCAGTCACTCGTTGTTTTAGAGAGCTTTGATTTCCACCTGAGTCAAATAAGTGTTGGGAGGTTAAAGTAATATAGAATTGTTAAGGTTTGAGAGAAGATGAAAGCAGTTTTCTAACATATCTAGCAAAGTATATTTTATTGTATATAATTCAGAAATTCATAAATGATTTATCTTATATGTGTCAACCAAGGTATGTTAAATTAGGCCTGACTAGAGATAGAATTTTTACAAATACACTTATGCCCTAAATATTATTTCAGGTTCTTGACTTTAGTCATTTAAACTATTTACCTTAACCTTATCGTTAAAGTGCAGTGTTTTTACCAGCTTTTCAAAGCCTACTGGCCCACATTTTCTCCAGGAGATATATAGTATCAAAGCAGATAAATGCTTAACTACTCATTCTGGGTAGCTGGATAATTATTCAGGAAGTATGGTCATACAACTATTTACAATTCAAGTTTAACTAGCTTTATGACAGTCTGCCTCTGCGCTTAGATAATTGTAATGTGAGCCACATGTGTAATTTAAACTGTTCTAGTAGCCACGTTAAAAACATAAAAAGAAAGTGAGATTAATTTTAATAAAATCGCTTATTTAATCCAACATGTGCCAAATATTTCAGCATGTAAATATTCAATATTAAAATATAATAATATTTGACATTCATTTTTTTCATACTATGTCTTCAAAATCTGGTGTGTATTTTACATTTACTGCACACTCAGTTTGGATGCTAATGTTCATGGGACACACTTATCTGTTTTTAGGATTTATACAATTTACAGTTGAAAACCTAGATTCACATATTCAAGTAGTTTCAGACATAATTTTTTCCCCAATAACTGAAACAAGTATCAGTTTTAAAATTTATATTAGAATTAATTAAAAATAAAACCTACCTAGTTCCTCAGTCACACTAGCCACATTGTGAGCACTTGGTAGCCACAGGTGGCTAGTGGCTCCTGTGGCACAGGCCTACCCATCTCTAGCGTGAGAGCCAGTCTCAGCCATAAAAATCTCTTCTGGAAGAGTTTTGGGTTATCTGTCAAAGGGACGTGAGAAAAGGATAGCTTTATAAATCAAGCCTCTCTTCTGTGTCCCAAATACACATTCTGCCCCTTTGAAGGAAATCCTCAATTTTACCGTTTCATTGGTTTTTTTGTTTGTTTTGGCCACACCGTGCTGCATGCGGGATCTTAGTTCCCTGACGAGGGATCAAACCTGTGCCCCCTGCATTGGGAGTATGGAGTCTTAACCGCCAGGGTGGCATCCTCAATTTTAAAGTTAAGTGACTGCACCCAAAGGAAATGACACGTACGTAAAAATGTCTATTGTGTCTGAGAAATTGCTGGCTAATTGTTTCACAACTTATTTTGTACTAAGCTTGCACAATTTAAATACTTGTTTTAACAAATGCAGAAGGGCTTCCCTGGTGGCGTAGTGGTTGAGAGTCCGCCTGCTGATGCAGGGGACATGGGTTCGTGCCCCGGTCCGGGAGGATCCGACATGCCGCGGAGCAGCTGGGTCCGTGAGCCATGGCCGCTGAGCCTGCGCATCTGGAGCCTGTGCTCCGCAACGGGAGAGGCCACAACAGTGAGAGGCCCGCGTACCGCAAAAAAAACAAAGAAAAAACAAATGCAGAAATACAAATTGTACTTCTTGGGGATTAGTAGAATATTATGCTTTCAGACTGCTGAAACGACCTTGTCACTTTTGCAGGTGAATCTCTGGTTTTCTGTCAGTAGAGGGCTAGCCTTGGGAAGACTCGAGCTCTTGCCATCAAAATGAGCTTTCTTGTGCTTGGCCCTGTTTCTTGAAACTCCTCTTTCTACCTCTCCTCTGTGTATTTTTCTGTATTTGGTTCTTGTGTTGTAAATGTGAGCAACCGGTTAAATGATGCTGAGGAATATGAGAGTCTCATTATAGATGCTTACACCTAGGTTTTCATAAATTGGAATAATAACAATATCTGGCACATATTGAGTCTTTACTGTAGGCCAGGAGGAAAGCCAGGTGTGTTAGGTCTGTATCTTAGGGCTTCTGAAACCTTTTCCGTATCATGGTGCACAAAAAAAGACTTATACAGTACCCTTCAGTTAGAGGACTCCAGGCACCTCTGGCCATGACTGGCATATTAGTTTGCTAGGTAGGGCTGCTATAACAAATACGACAGACTGGGTGGCCTAAACGACAGAGATTTATTTTCTCACAATTCCGGAGGCTGAAAGTCTGAGATCAAGGTGTTGGCAGGTTTCTTCTGGGGCCTCCCATCCATCTTTTCCTCCCTGTGTCTTCACATGGGCTTCCTCTGTGTTTGTCCTAATTTCCTTATAAGGACACCACTCATACTGGATTAGGGCTCACCCCGGTGACCGCATTTTAACTTAGCTACCTCTTTAAAGGCACTGCCTCCAAACAGTCGTATTCTGAGGTACTGGGGGTTAGGACATCAACATGAATTTGGTAGGGGAGACACAATTCAGCCAGTAACAACGGCAGCTGGAGTGAGGCGGGAAGCAGTGTCTGGGACACACCTGTAACCCATTTGCAGCACAATCTTATTTTACTTAATTCTTATGACATTCCTATGAGGTAATATTATTATGCCTATTTTATGGATGAGAACACTGAGGCCCCAACAGATGAAGTCCACTGCCTGAGGTAACACAGTAAGTGGCAGAGCCGGAACTGGGGCACAGGGGTGGCTGCTTCCATCAGATGGGCTTAATACCATCAGCCTTTTGAAACTTTAAGCTGGATTTCTCTTTACATATGATGTGCTTTATGTAATAGAACCTTTTTGACTAAAATTGAGGGTCTGTGTCTGAAATTTTAGCATACAATCATAAACTTTTGACATAGAACAATAATAGTAAAAGTTACTATCTTTCTACAGAAATGCAGTAACTACCATATTAATAATACTTAGGTCAGTATTTTACTACTATTCATTTAAAGCTTAATTGAAGTTTACCAATTGGCTGTAAATCACTACTAAAGCGAAAATGCTTTAACTAACCTGAACTTCTGTTTGAACTTTTTTTAAACTTCTGATTGAGGATATTTTATATTTTGGGCAGATTGACTTTTATCTTTTTTGTTTTTTTTTTTTTTTGCGGTACGCTGGCCTCTCACTCTTGTGGCCTCTCCCGTTGCGGAGCACAGGCTCCGGACGCGCAGGTTCAGCGGCCATGGCTCACGGGCCCAGCCGCTCCGCGGCATGTGGGATCTTCCCGGACCCGGGCACGAACCCGTGTCCCCTGCATCGGCAGGCGGACTCTCAACCACTGCGCCACCAGGGAAGCCCGATTTACTTTATTTTTGTTACCCTTATAAGTACTCAGGTAAAATTTCATCCTCAGTTTCCAAAGTAAAATAAGCCTAAACTCAAGAATTGAAAGAAAATGCTTTGTCTTGTTTTTGTAAAGAGCAGGTTTGGAGGAATTACCTCTAAAAAAGAAAAAAAGTCCCCCTTGCCTTTTGTAAACAGCAGGTATAAAGGAATGACCTCTAAAAGAAGCTGGAATGTCACTGCGATAGTTTATCTTGCTTTCAAATTCTTTACACATAATTAAGCAACAAACACTTAAGTTGACTGGACTATATGTACTTATCACCATTCTCACTGGAAATGTACCAGAGTAGGAAAGCTTTTAGGTAACAAGTTTAGGTAACATTAGCAAGAGATCTTAGCTTTTTTTCTTTTTTAATGTAAGTGAAAAATACTACTGTATCCCTTTCTACTACTATGTAGAAAGGGAAAAATTTGAGCAGAGCTCGGGGAACTTCCCCGGTCTTAGAGCATAGATTTATTATTTATTTTGAATTAATATCCATAATATTCGATTTAAAATATGGATTTGAAGATTTTCCAAAAGAATAGTTTGGTTTTAGTTCATTTGTATTTTATCCTTGTTAGATGAAAAGTTAAACTGAAGCTTCCTTAGGCTAAATTAGGGTTATAAACAAGAATGTTTACATTTTAAAAATCTACCTCATAGATAATTCTAGTATGATTAAGTGGCTTCTGAACAGATTTTCCTATAATCTTAATGTTTGGAGTATGAAAGTACTCTCATAACAAAAATATTGGAAAGTAAACAGATCTTGAACATATTTGTATCTTTGTCCCTTGTGTTATCTCGGAGTCTATGAAATCATCACACTTTGACTTCTGGGGAAGGTATTTGAATAAAAAGTGGCATATAGAGGATAAAGTTGCAGGGAAGGGTAAGAAAGAATGAGAAACTGAAATTTTCGATTCTCTCACTCTTATCAGCCAAGAAAGAAGGCTGGGAGTCATTCTTGATGGGCCCCTCCTCACCCCCACTCCCAATCCATCATCAAGTTATGTCAGTTTCATCTCAAACTATATTTTGAGTCCATCCACTTCTCAATCCCAACTGCTACACCATCACCATATCCTCTTGCCTGGACTCCTGCCAAGGCCTGCCTTTCTTCCCCTCCCCCACCCCTTTCTCTGCAGGAAATGGTGATCTATCTGGGCTTACCATTGTGCCCTTAGCATCAAGCAGAGTGCCTTGCTAAGTGCGTGGATTTCATGTTATTAATGCAAATATGATCGTTATCTCTGCTCTGCTTACAATCCTGCATTTTCGCACTGCACTCAGAATAAAATCCCCAACCCATCTTCCTCTTGGGTCCCTTCCCCATTCTCACTTCCAGCCACACTGCCTTCCTGGCTGTTCCCCAAACATACCCAGCAACTTCCTGCCTTAG